TGTGGTTTTGGGAGGAGATTTCCACTGCTCTACTCACGCCGCCATCTTGGCTCTGCCTAGTCTGCTATTGTTTTGTTCCTTCAGTTTTTCTTTGTTGTTGTACTCCACAAATGAGGGAAATCATTTGGTACTTGTCTTTTTCCAACTGGCTTATTTCACTAAGCATAATATTCTCTAGCTCCATCCATGTTGTTGCAAATGGTAGGATTTGTTTTCTTCTTATGGCTGAATAATATTCCATTGTGTATATGTACCACCTCTTCTTTATCCATTCATCTCATCCACTGATGGACACTTAGGTTGCTTCCATTTCTTGGCTATTGTAAATAATGCTGCAATAAACATAGGGGCACATATATCTTTTTGAATCTGAGAAATTATATTCTTTGGGTAAATTCTAGGAGTAGAATTCCCAGGTCAAATGGTTTTTCTTATTGTAGTTTTTTTGAGGAACCTCCATATTGCTTTCTACAAATGGTTGAACTAGCTTACATTCCCACCAGCCATTTAGGAGGGTTCCCCTTTCTCTACAAACTTGCCAGCATTTGTTGTTCCTTGTCGTTTGGATGTTGGCCATCCTAACTGGTGTGAGGTGATATCTCATTGTGGTTTTAATTTGCATTTCCCTGACAGTTATTGATGTGGAGTATCTTTTCATGTGCCTGTTGGCCATCTGAATTTCTTCTTTGGAGAATTGTCTGTTCAGATCCTCTGTCCATTTTGTAATTGAATTATTTGCTTTTTGGGCATTGGGGTGTGTGAGTTGTTTATTTCTCTGCCCATTTTTTAATTAGATTTTTTGTGGGTTTTTTTGACTTTGAGTTGTATGAATTCCTTATTTTTTTAATAGTAACTTTTCTCAGATACATTGTTTACAAATATATTCTTCAATTCCATAAGTTTCCTTTTCATTTGGTTGATTGTTTCTTTTGCTTTGCAGAAGAGTTTTAGTTTTATGTAGTCCTACTCGTTTACTTTTGCTTTTGTTGCTTCTGCTTTTGATGTCCTATCAATAATAATTACCAAGACCAATGTCAAGGACCTTCTCCCCTCTTTTCTTTTCTAGGGTTTTTGTAATTTTAGGTATTACATTAAAATGTTAATCCATTTTGAATTAATTTTTGTAGGTGATATAAGATAGGGGTCCAGTTTCATTCTTTTGAATACAAATATCCAGTTTTCCCTACACCATTTATTTAAAAGTCTAGCTTTTTACAACTGAGTAGACCTGGCTCTCTTGTCAAATAATAGTTGACCTTTTATATGCATAGGTTTATTTCTGGTATTCTGATTTTTTTCCATTGCTCATTATGTCTGTTTTTATACTTGTGCCATACTATTTTGCTGACTATATCTTTGTAATATAGTTTGAAAGTAGTAAATGTATTGCCTCTCAATTTGTTCTTCTTTTTCAAGACTGCTTTGGCTTTTGGGGTATTTTGTAGTTCCACACAACATTTACAGTTGTTTTCTATTTCTGTAAAAAAAGGTCATTGGAGTTTTGATAGGGATTACATTGAATCAATAGATGTCTTTGGGTTGATGGACATTTTAACAAGATTAATTCTTCTGATCTGTGATCCTGGGATATCTTTCCAATTATTCGTGTCAATATCTTGTATCAATGTCTTAAAATTTTCAGTGAACAGTTATTTTTACCACTGTGGTTAAATTTGCTCCTATGTATTAAATTCTTTTCAATGCTGTTGAAATGGGGTTGTTTTCTTTATTTCTTCAGTAGATATTTCATTGTTGGTGTATAGAAACACAACTGATGTTTCTATGTTGGTTTTGGGAGTTATGTTGGGAGTGTGTCCTGTTGAATTTTTTTGGAAGAGTTTGAGAAAGCTTGGTATTAATTCTTCTTTTAATGCTTTACTGAATTTATTTGTTCTAACAGGTTTTTTTTGGTGGAATCTTTAGAATTTTCTGTATATACAATCACGTCATCTACAGAGACAATTCTGGTTGTTTCTTTCATATTTAGATGCCTATTTCCTTTTCTTACCTAATTGCTCTTGCTAGGACTTCCAATAAATACTATGTTAAATAAAAGTGGTGAGACTGAGCATTCTTCTTTTATTCCTGAACTTAGAGGAAAAGCTTTCAATCTTTCACATGAGTATGATGTTATCTGTGGGTTTGTGATATGCCCATTATTATGTTGAGATATGTTCCATCTATACCCAATTTTTTAGAGCTTTTACCATGAAAAGATATTGAATTTTGTCAAATTCTTTTTTCTGTCTATTGAGAGTATCATGATTTTTATATTTCATTTTATTAATGTGCTGTATCACATATATATTGATTGATATATATTGAACAGTCTTTGCATCTCAAGGATAAATGCGACTTTATCATGGTGTATGATCCTTTCAATGCATGGTTAAATTCAGTTTGCTAATATTTTGCTGAGAACTTTTTCATGTGTGTTCATCAGGGATATTGACTTGTAGCTTTTTTTTCTTTTAGTATCCTTATCTGGCTTTGTTATCAGGGTGATACTGGCCTCATAAAATGAGTTGGGAGTGTGTCCTGTTGAATTTTTTGGAAGAGTTTGAGAAAGCTTGGTATTAATTCTTCTTTTAATGCTTGATATAATTCAACACAAACTATCTGGTCCTGGGAATTTCTGTGTTCTGAGGTTTTTGATTGCTGATTCAACCTCCTTACTCATTGGTCTGTTCAGATTTTCTGTTTCTTCCTTCTTCAGTCTTTTTAGTTTATATGTTTCAAGGATTTTTCCATTTCTTCTAGGCTGTTCAGTTTGTTGGTGTATAATAGTAGTAGTCTGTTGTGAACATTTTGTATTTTTGTGATATCATTTGTCTCTTTCATTTATAATTGTATTTGAATTCCCTTTTTTTCTTGGTTAATCTAGCTAAAATTTGTCATTTTTTGTTTATCTTTTCACAAAACCGTCTCTTTCATTCATTTTTTTCTATTGTCTTTCTAGACTGTATTTCATTTCTTTCTGCTGTAACCTATTATTTCCTTTTTGCTACATTTGGGCTTATATTTTTCTTCTCTTTATAATTTGTTTAGGTATAAAATTAAGACATTTATTTAAGATTGTTTTCCCTTAATGTAAGCATTTACCACTATAAACTTCCTTCTTCACACTGTTTTTGCTGTATCCCATAAGGTTTAATATGTTGTTTTCATTTTCTTTTATCTCAAAATACATTCTGATTTCCTTTTTGACTTCTTCTTTGACCCTTTGTTCAAGAGTGTTGTTTAATTTCCAGACATTTGTGAATTTTTTGTTTTTCTCTTTTTACTTATTTCTAATTTCATACCATGGTGGCTGGAAAAGATATTTCATGTGATTTCAGTCTTCCTAAATTTGTTAAGGCTTGCTTTCTGGCTCAACATATGATCTATCCTGATGTGCTTAAGAGGAAATATATGTTCTGGTGCTGTTGTATAGGATGTTCTGTGTCTATTAGGTCCATTTTGCCTACAGTGTTGTTGTGGTCCACTAATTTTTTATTAAATTTTTGTCTGGATGATCTGTGCATTGTTGAAAGTGGGGTGCTTGGAGTCACCTACTGTTATTTTATGCTGGTTGTTACTCCATTTCAGTTAATATTTGCTTTAGGCATTTAGTATTTGTCCTAAAAAGAATAGAATTCCTACTTACCTTGCCCCCTGTTTGTAATCTCTCTGTTAAGGGATTACAGTCAAAACTACACTTTGGCTAATTTATTCTGTCTTGTCTTTCATTACACTAATATTCCGGTCATCTGTTTCTAATTTCCTATTAAACCTATCCATTATGTTTCCATTTGTGTTACTGTATTTTTCACTTCAAGTAGTTTTTTTTTTCAGTCAGCACAGTCACATTTTGTAGTTTCTGCTTCCTACAAACTTTCATGATACTCAAAGTGTTTAACAACTAATAGAACATGGGCAATGATTAATCAGAATGGATATCAGCTGAAACAACCACCATAACTGTAGGAATAGGTACTATTGAATATCAACCAACTTCTAAACATGCATGTGCACACGCACACTCACACACACACACACAAGGCATATCTTTTATTTATTTATACCTCAAAAACAGGCATTTTATAGCCAGTTAATAATTTTTTTTATAATTCTGGAATCTGTACCTTGAGAATCTATTTCTATCTGTTGTTGCTGATGATTTTTTACTTATGGTGCCTTGTTTCCTAGTGTACTTGATTTTTTAAATCTTTACTACTCATGATTCTTGAAAAATTATTTATGGAAATATTTTGAAGCTTAAAATGAAGGCGCTTTTCCTCAGAGAGGGTTTACTTTTGCTTCTTCAGATGCTTGATATCAATGTAAATTCAATTCACAGCCTGAGATCTTTAGGTCTCCCATATAATGTAATTTAAGGCTGTAAATACATAAGAGTCTGATTGTGTTTCACTTTGGGGATTGGTTCTCCCCATTCAATTTTGCTGGATTCTTCTCAGAATCAAAGTAACTTTCTTTACAGTCCCCTGGGGATGTGGATAGAAGTGGGTTTACTTCTGGTTTGCCTTCAGCCTAAGAGTGTGATCCCTTAGGCCTTGATGTCTGTTTCCCTGACCTAGTGAGGTCCATTAAAACTAAAGTTAACATTTGCATAGATTTACAAATGCCCACCAGAAAAAAAAACTGGCCTTAATCCTCTGCTTACTTCTCTGGGACCTCACCTTTCCTTAGATTTTGCCTGTTAATTCCTTTACTATCTTGTCAATTGCTTTTGTATTTAAAAAAATGTTATCTAATATTTTCGGTTATTTTCAGTGGGAGAGTTAATCTGACATACATAATGTGCCCTATTTTCAGAAGCAGAACTGTTTCTTTAGCATTTTAAGAGAAGAGTTCTTTAAAGCTTTTTCTTAGATTCATGTCTTTTCATTATGTACATCCCTCAGCCATTATGGCTATGCTAATAATATTAATAAAATATGAGATAAGGTCTTCCTTATAGGTTTCATAAAGAGACCAAATATTTTTCTTCTTTTTTTTAGGCTAAAGAAGCAATGTCAGAAGCTGAATTACATGATCCTGCAAATATTTTCACTCAATTTTATATATTCCAGATTGCAGTCTTAGAAGGCAACTCTGACAGAGGTATAAATGTTATTTATGAGTTATATTTGAGTGCTAACACAAAGAATAAAGAATACTCTGACCATAATAGGAAAATAACATTGTTTTTAAAACAATGGAGTTGAATGCATAGTCTTGCTTTCCTTTGTAAAAATGATACAACCATGCAAAAAGAAACTATTTTATATAAAAATAAAAGAACAGAGGCTACTTATTGAGGGAGTGGGAGATAGGGAGATGTGCGACATGAGTTGGGGGGAAAATCTTGTCACCGTGTATTTTTGGTACTTTATGTCATTTGAACGGACCCTATTGAAAACTTAGTTTAAGAAGCTGTGGGTACCAGGGGAGATAATACTGCAAACCCGTATCAATTAAAAGTTGTCTTTAGAGAATGGAATTATCCAGGGTACTTTTGATTGTTTTCACTTATTCGGGACATGTTTGGTGAGAGATGTGGCCTTGAAATGGAGTTTCTCTCCACAAAGTTGACAGTGTTGGAATTGTTCACCTGAATCTTATCGAATTAGTGCTGTGTCCTTTCCATTAAGTTAAACAAGTTTCCTAGCAGGTATTTCTGCAAACACGTCTATCTTGACTTGGTTACAGATATGCCTGTGCAGTGATATTATTTATTCCCATTAGCCTTTAAGGTAGCTGAGCAATTTCTGGACAAGTTTGAGCTCCAGACTGGTTGCCCCTTATAAAGGGCACACATTGAGATATTGAGAAGCTTGAATCAATCTAAAAAGAATTTATACTTATCCAATTAAACAATTATTTATGAATATTGCTATGTGCAATGGATTCTGTTATTCAGTTTATAAGAAAAAGAATGGTGATTTGTTCTGCATTGAGAAGGAAATGTTCCAGGATAATAAAGTATACCTGTGTATTAATTAAGGAGTAGCAAATTGGAGCCAGCTCTTGTTCAACGTTAATACTGCTGTCATGTCCGTCATCAATGTTTTTATTAGAGGCTTCTAGAAATTTGTTTTACTTTATATATTATTGTGGAAGATAAAAGAACATGAAACGTTTTGCCAATTAGGAATGGCAAAAAATAGATTTTCTATTAAACTTTCTAACATTCTATTAAAATTATTTTACTTTTTAAACACATCATCAGCTCAATCTTTTTATTGAGCTTCTCTAGTTACTTGTGAGCATTTTTAAAAATCATGTTTATTGAAGATACTACAATAAAATTTACTCTTGTTAGTATATGATTCTTTGAGGTTTATGTATATTAATAAATCTATGAGTTTCAACAAATACACACAGTCATTTAACCACCACCACAATAAAGATACAGAACAAAAACTTACCTCAGGTTCTTTTATTGCCATTCCCTTTCACCCCTTCTACTCCTGGAAGCTACTGATATCATTTCTATCTCTATAGTTTTGCCTTTTCAAGAATGCCATATGAATTAAATCATAAGGTATGAAGTATTTTGATCCTGGCTTCTTTCACTCGGCATAATGCATAAAAATTTTATTCATACTGTTGTGTCTTTCCATAGTTTTTTCTTTTTTATTGCAGTTATATTTTATAGTATCATGTACCATAGTTTGTTTATCCATTTGTCAGTTGAAAAATATTTGGATGGTTTCCAGTTTTAATTATGAATAAGGTGCTATAATCATCTCTTTACAGATTTTGGATGATGGTAAGATTTCACTTCTCGAGGGTAAATATCTAGGAGTGGGATCGCAGGGATTTATGATAAATACATGTAATTTGAAATGATGTACTGTCCATGCTCCAACTTTGTTCTCTTTCAAATTATTTTGGCTATTCTAAGCTTCTGCATATGTCTATGAATTTTAGAATAAGTTTTTTAATTTCTACAAAACTGAATATATTGATTGGAATTATGTTGAATCTATAGATCAGTTTGGAAAAAAACTGTCATCTTCCGATCCTTGAAAAAGTTATATAACTCCATTTATTTAGGTCTTTAATTTCTCTCAGCGATCTTTTCTAAAATCTTTCATTTTGCAGATCTTGTGCATCTGTTGTCAGATTTGTCCCTAAGTATACCATATTTTATGCTATTTTAAATGGCATTAAAAAAAACCACTTTCCAATAGCTCATTCCTAGTATGTATGGATGATTTTTTTTTTTTT